AAAAAAAAAAAAAAGTGCTACTTCTACACTTCTATTTACTAAGAGTTCAAATATTAGGATTTTTGTTTCAGGTATTTATCCCCCGGCAAAATCATTCCAGTTGCAAAGAATAACAAATGTATCTGTCTAAATGTCATTATCAGAAAAGTTGTGGAGCAAAGACAATTATTCATCTCTTATTTCCTCCAAAGGGACACTGTATTAGATCTGGTTGATTATATGAATGCCTACAATGTCCTGTATCTTCTACTCATTGTCTTTTCCTTATAAAGAAACTTTAAAATAGGCTGGGCACGGTGGCTCACACCTGTAACCCCAGCACTTTGAGAAGTCAAGGCGGGTGGATCATTTAAGGTCAGGAGTTCGAGACCAGCCTGGCCAACATGGTGAAACCCCGTCTCTACTAAAAATACAAAAAATTAGCCGGGTGTGGTGGCGGCTGTAATCCTAGCTACTCAGGAGGAGGCTGAGGCTGGAGAGTCACTTGAACCCAGGAGGCAGAGGTTGCAGTGAGCCGAGATCATGCCACCACACTCCAGCCTGGACAAGAGTAAGACTCCGTCTCAGGAAAAAAAAAAAAAGAAGAAACTTTAAAATAGTTTAACATCAATGCTACTTTCAGTCTTCTCTACTTCTCTTCTAAATCCTGTACCTTTGGTGAATTTAATACTTTTAAAAAGCTGAGTTATGAAACATGTTTTATTTTTTATCTTTTTCAATTAAAGTGTTAAAACCTTTTGCTCTATTCACAGCAGCAGATTTTCAAAGGGGATCTTATGCTTGGACAACCAAATGCTGATGCTACAACTTTTTTCATACTTTGCAGATTTTCATTCATTATAAAAATAATACAAAGCACTTAATCTTTTGCTATATGTACTTATTCTTTCCATTTATAAAACTAAAGAAACATAAATCTCTTACCTATGTTTCTATCTGCATTAAAGCTGTTAGATCTACAAATTTTTTAAAAGGAAAGAAAAAATTACTCATTAGTATAATCATAAAAATTAACATATAAGACTGTGATATAAGTGCAATGTTTAATGGCATACTACAGTTAAGTCCTTCCTCCAGATAGGAAGAACAAAGAAACTACTCATTACAAAATCTAGTAAATCCAAGTCTACTTAGAGAAAACAGAAGTACTTACTTTGCTCATTTTACCACATTTACCCAAATTTAAAGGAGCTGTTTTTTCCAAAAATATTAATCAAGAGAGAACAGCGTCCACCAAAGTCTCTTGTCAATTATTTTGGTGACATTAGAAGACACAGCCTCAATACATAAATACATTAATTCATCATTCAATAAATATGTACTAAACTCTTATTATTTACCAGGCACAGTTCTAGGTAATAATATTAAACAAAGTTCCAACGTACATAAATCTAATGAGGAAGACAGAAAACAATGTTATGTAACAGATCATGATGGTTTTAAGTGCTATAAAAAGAGACATTAAGAGTATAGAGGTTAAAAAAAAAAAAAAAAAAAAGAGAAACCTCAATGATAAGGAGATACCCGAAGAAATGCAGAATGAATTATGCAGCTTACTGGGGAGAGAGAGAGAACGGCAAATGCAGAGGCCCTGAAGCAGGAGCATTCATGGAATATTCAAGGTACAAGGATGGATGTTCAATCAATGCTCCTTTGAAATGATATGGAGGTCAAGAGATGGAATCAAAGAGGAGGCAAAGAAATTAATAGTCATTATTCCTGGGGGCATGACCTCATAATTATAAGTGCTAGATGTCTTTTAACGACTACTTATGAAAAACACTATAGTGAAGTATATATCACAGTGATCATAAATTTAGAGCCACAAAAATTGAAAGCCACAACTGTCTTGATACTATGTCAATTGGTACCCGTGGCTACAGATGGTTTTCAAGGATTATTCACCTACATGAAAAAAGGACCGTAAATGGGAGAGAAGATAATTTGATCTGGAAAACTGACAAAGAGGTCAACCTCAAAAATGTACATATATGTTTCATGATATATGGTTTTAAAACAGTAGTATTTCTAAATTAATTAATAGATATTAATACATGACTTCAACTATGTATAGACACCCAAAGTAAAAATGAGCAGACATTTGACCATCTCACCTACATCCCTATAAACTTACTTACTCCATTTGGCTAAAACATTTTTAGAATCACCACATGGGGAAAAAATGGTAACTGCTTCCTATTTGGTCACCTTATCCTAGAGCTTGTAAGAAATATTCAATAACACAAGAACAGAAAACCAAAAAAAAAAAAGAAAGAAAGAAA